GATAGTAGATTTTTTTTACTACTGTCGTAAATGCAAAAGCTTGGATAACGAGATAATTGATAAGTGAGGAGTAGGTGTAGTGCTGTAGTAAACATTGGTATACATGTGTCTGTGTCGCTGCTTTCAAGTCTCTTGGGTTATACGTAGGAGTGGAATTCTGGGTTATGTGGTAGTTCTATGATTAACTTTTTGAGGAACTGCCAAAATGTTTTCCACAGCTGCTGTACCATTTTGCATTCCTGCTAGCAATGGATAAGGGTACAGTTTCTCTACATCCTCACCAACATTTGTTATTTTCCAGTTTTTGATCTTAGCCATCCTAGCAGGAGTGAAGTGGTATCTCACTGTGGGTTTTTAAAAAATAATTTTATTTTTGTTGTTGTTGAGTATATACCCAGCAGAACATACACCAATTCAGCAATTTCTACATGTAAGTCAATGACACTGATTATGTTCTTCGAGTTGTACAGTCATTCTCACCCTCGTTTTCTGAGTTGTTTCTTCCTCATTAACTCACTGCCCCCTAAGTTTTCTATCTAATCTTTTGAGTTGCTGTTGTCAATTTGATCCAATATAGGTAGATCTTAAAAGAGCACAATGCTCAAGGCAGACATACTCTAAGCTAAACTATTGTTTGGTTTCAAGAAGACTTTAAGGGATATTTTTGGCTTAGAGATTATCTCAGGACAAAAGTTTGGAGGGTTCATCTAGCCTCCATGACTCCAGAATGTCTGGAGTCCATGAGAATTTGAAATTTTATTCTTCATTTTCCCCCTTTTGATCAGGATTCTTCTATAGAATCTTTGATCAAAATGTTCATTAATGGTAACTGGGCACCATTCAGTTTTTGTGGTCTCACGGCAAAGGAGGCAGTTGTTCATGGAAGCAATTAGCCACATATTCTATTTCCTTCTCCTACGCCTGACTGTCCTTCTTCCTGTGTTGCTCTAGGCAAATAGAGACCAACTGTTGTACCTTGTGTGGTTGCTTGCAAGCTTTCAAGACCCCAGGCACTATGCAATGAACTGGGAGGTGGAATGAAAGGAGTAAACAAATATTAGGCCAGTTAACTGGGATGTCCCAGGAAACCATGACCCTAAACCTCCAAACCAAGGAACAAAATCTCATGAGGTGTTTCGTTGTACGTAAGCAGCCTCAAGCAGCCACTTTTTTGGTTGTCATTGTAAATATATCTATCACACAACTTTGCAAATTCAACTTTTTACAGGTGTACAACTTATTGACAGCAATTACATGAATGGCTGTGCAGCCTTACCCTTAATTAGTCATTGTGGTTTTGATTTGTATCACCTTAATGGCTAATGATGTTGAGCATCTTTTCATGGGCTTGTTGGCCATTTGCATATCTTCTTTAGTGAATGTCTATTAAAGTCCTTTGCCCATTTTTGATTGGATTGTTTGTCTTTTTGTTATTAAGTTGTATGTCCAGAATCTTTTAAGTTCTCCCTTTCCTTGAACACGTTTTAAAAAGGTCTTGTATTCCAGAATAATTATATCCTGTCTTTAGATTTGACTTGGGATTTAGCTATTCTCTTGTGTAAATCAAATGATTATTCATGATGTAAAAATAATAAAATCAACAACTGTATCACGCTGTAGAGGTTATGAGGTGTTTTTATTTAATTCATTGGATCCTCACAATAATTCCATAGCTAGGGAAGTGGGTATTTTTCTTTATAACATGGATGGAATACATTATGGTGATGAAGAATATGGGCTCTGGAGTTAATCTGAGTTTGAATTTCAGGTCTACGAATTACTAGCTTGATCTCAGCTAAACCCACTTGGTTCATCATCTGTAAAATGGGGAGATACATATCTCATAGTGTCATTACATAAATAGCTCATGCAAAGCAATTAAATGGTACATGGCACACAGTGCTCAATAAATATTTAGTTCTGGCTATTGTTATTATTAACATTATATGAAGAAATGGAAACCCAGGAAAGTTAAGCTATCTATCAAAGGTCACACAAGCTAGTGGACAGGAAAATTAGGGCTTGAATTAAGTTTTGGAAGCTTCTGGTACTGGATTTTTTTCCACTATGTTTGCTACTGAATTCTACATTCTGGGGGACTATAAAGTGAGTCATTCTTTCTTTCATCTTTTGGCTTATTTATATTTTCCTACATTTAGAACTGTTGGGTATTGTCTGTCTGGCCATGGGATTGATTTGTCAGAATTCACCATGAGAGACAACATCAAGGAGGAAGGATGTCCATTGTCCAGAAGGTGGACTATCCTTGGCACAGAGATTCTGGGGATTTCTGGGGCCATTCACTTCTGTCTAGATATAAGGTCTGGAAAAACTAACATTCTATTTCTATACACATCAAGAGATTTAGAAAAATTAATAAACATTAACTTCTCAAAGCTTTAGTTTCTTCTTAAGGAGGAGAATACTTACATTTTGGTGGGCTCATTTGTCCTTTACGTCCCTTTGAGGTAGTGAAGAAATAGGTTATATTATCTCCATTTTAGGGGAGTAGTTGACGTCCAGTGTGAAAAGAACACCAGCTTTGGAGTTAGACCAGGTTAAATTCCTGGCTCCTCGACTTCCAGTTAAACGTCTCTAAGCCCCATTTTTCTCATCTCTATAATTCAAATAAACAGAGGGTTATTTGGAAATTTAAAAGAGATAATGCTTATAAAAGAAAGACATAATGTCAGATGCTTAGCATGTACCTGGTCCCTGTTAATGTGGCTGTTACTGCTCTTGTTGGGGTGGGGGCTTTTCACACTGGCCCAGGGTCACAGTTAGTTGGGAACCCAGGTCGCACCATTCTTCGCTGAATATTGCATGGACTGCTTCACCTGGGTACATTGTCTGCATTTTCAAATCCAAGTATTTTGACCTTTCATTATTAATTTATTTTTAATGTGCCTGGACAGGTCATTGGCTCTGTGTGTTCAGCAGGCCATGTGCAATGCCCATTACGTCAAAATCCCAAGTTTACTTCATGTCACAAGGCATAGTTAATGCTAGCTAAACCTCATGACTGAAGAAAAATGATATTTACAGAGTCTTTCAGATGGTATTTGGTCAGCTATTCTCAGAAAGTGAAAGCAGCAGGTGTTTATAGAGTATTTATTATACGCATTGTGTGAGGAAGGAGACGTACAAGAAACCTAGTGCTTGATTCATCTTTCACAGAACAGACAATTTTCTGGGCAAAACAGATGTGATTGAAACATGACATGATTAACGACAATACAAAACACTATGTGATCCAGCTAACGTAGGTGTTGCATGGGCTCTCATGAACTGGTGAGTAAAGAGACAAATCCACGCTTAAAGTACAGTGATAAACAATAATAGAGTTTTATAAAGGGTAGTATAAGAATGCAGAGGCGGGCTTATGTGTGTATGTATTTGGGTCGTAGTGTGGGTTCCAGGGAGAGGTGATGCTTGAGTTGATTCTGATGATTAGTGGGGGCTACTGGAGACAGTGGGAGATGCTGAAGAAAGTAGTATTGAAAGAGAAGGAAAGAATGTTGCACTTGAACACTGAGGTGTGTGAGAGCTTGGTGGGTAATGAAGAACAGCATTTCTTCAGTATTCCTGATGACGGGAGCTTAGGGGTAGTGGTGGGAGAGCAGGCTGGAGAAATAAGCAAGGGCTATGTCATTAAAGACCTTGTGTACCATGCTGCGAAGTATGAGCATCAAGATGGTGGCGACCAAGAAAGCAAGCGATGATTCTATTAGTGTTTCAGAATGATTGCTCTAGGAAGATCTTCTAGTAAACCAGTGAGAAATCAAGTCTCAGAGTAAAAATGAATGAATGAAGGGATACTGGAGCGAGTGAATGTTGTTAGGTGCCATAAAGTTGATTTCAACTCATAGTGACCCCACATGACAGAGTAGTACTGTCCCATAGAGTTTTCTAGGCTGTAATCTTTACAGGAGCAGATTGCCAAGTCTTTCTCCTGCTGAGCCACTGAGTGGGTTCAAGCCGCCAACCTTTTGGATAGCAGCTGAGTGCTTAAGCATTATGGGAGACCAGAGAAAGGGGATGCCATGGTAGGAAGTGTATTTGAGGCAGATTCTATGAAAGAGGAAGATTTGAGTGGCCATCCCAGTAACTTGCCCATGGTTGGTTGCCAGTGAGTTGGGTATTGAATGGCAATAGGATTTATATAGGAGAGAGGACAGGAATTAGTTTCAGCTTGCATAAACATGTGTGAGATGGTTAAGGAGACAAGCATGACTGGAAAAGAGTGGTAGATAATAAGATTTCATATGCGAGTTGGCCTCATATTTCAGAGGGATTTGAAATGTCAAGTTGAGGAGTTTAAACTTATTTCATTAATCAGTAGGGAGCCACTGAAGATACTTAAACAGATAAAAACGATATTTTGAGAAGTGATTGGGTGGAATTAAAGCATTTAAGTGATAATTAAAATATATTCTTATTATTTTCGTCTATGTTTTTTATTTTTAATTTTTTTCAGTTTGTATGAAAATAGTGCACCACAGTTGGGCATCTTCATTTTAGCTGTTGGAAGATGTGTCTGATGTGGTGACACTCATTCTGACTCTTACCTTTAATGAAAATGCCAGAGAGACAGCATTGCTTTTGGTCTGGAAAATAAAGTTGATGACCCCCTCTCTGGTTGTGGGAAGACAAAGGCAGCTGAGTGCCCGTATGAGATTTTCGGTGATACCGGTCCATAGAGGGATGGGGCAAACAGAAAGATGAGAGAAACCATTTGTACTATGCAGTCTTTTAGAGAAAGCAAATACATGGCAAACACTGCCAATATCTCATTCCATACCCGTGACGAACATTGTTCATCATTCTTGGTATGTTTTCCTCTTGGACTCAACTGTAGTCATGGAATCCTTGTTAACACAATGCTTGAGACACTGTCAGTTGATCAGAGTTGGCACTGGAATTGTCATGCCTGGGGTAATAAATGGATGAAAATAGATTATGACTATACCAACAGTACAAATTGATTTTTACTTTTCCAGGTGGAACTTGCAGAAATCTGTGCCAAAAGTGAGCGCTATATTGGCACTGAAGGAGGAGGCATGGACCAGTCCATATCATTTCTTGCAGAAGAAGGAACTGTAAGTGACATTGAGCTATTTGGAAATATCAACTGGGGAAAATTCACATGGAGAAGAAGGTCTTGAGTTCCCCAGTGGGCTTGGCTATGGGAAGCCTATTCTACTAAGTTATGGGTATTTTTGGTTGGGGCGGTCTATTTTAGTATGCTCCATTGTAGGATATTTCCCAACTGTTTGTAACTCAGAGCAACCACCAGTTCACCAGCTCTGTTTCATGTTGTTACAGTTCCTTTTAGCTTCCAGAATCACACCTCAGTGTATTTTTCTCATGTGTCTAGTTTTTTTTTTCTCTACTATTCTCTTCATTTTTAGGATGAGATTACACAGTTCCAATCTCTTGGAACCTCCTTCCACACTCTGATCCCAAATCACTTCATCTCATGGCATTTTCATAATCTCTTGTTGGTTTTAAACCTAAATGTTAGTTCTCTTACCACATATATTCACAATCCTTCTTTTTATAATTTACTCTTTGGTATCATTTTTCTCTGTAAACATTTTTGGGGCTTCAGTGGTAGGAAAAAGAATGTAGACAGTAAGCTAAGAATAAATTCCTTAGGGGGATACCACTTCCCCTTGGCTGTCAGCTCCCTCAGGCAGAGCAGAGGTTTTGGTTGCTGCCCATGAACTGCTCATTTCCAAATTAGAAGCAGACATTTTTTAAAAAGACATTTTTCAGAGTTTTTCATCAGAGTCCTACAGGCTTGGCTATTTTCCAGGAACACCTGGATTCATTCTTATTAAGAATATTTGTTGTTGATTCTCTAAGCCAAAGGTATGAGGCATGAGGAAATTTGGTTCATAATAAGATAATACTGTGGGTGTTTTGGATGGAGCTGACAAGCAGACATGATGGCAAGAGTCCTAACATTAATGTATGTAAGTGATAGGATCTGAGCAAAATCTGAATTCTTTGGACTTGCACAGCCCTTTAGATCTGACCCCTACTTTACACCTTTATTCTAACCTCTTTCTCCTCCTCACCTGTCAAACCAAATTTCAATACTCAACGCGCCATTAACACCCTTGATGTGTCAAATTGGCTATGCTGTGGTGCCACATTGTTTGGTCAAACACTAGTGTGGAGGTTGCTGTGAATGTAGATGTGATTAACATTTAAAATCAGTTGTCTTTAAGTAAAGGAGATTACCCTTGATAATGTGGTGGGCCTTATCCAGTCAGTTGAAGGCCTTAAGAGCAAACCTGATGCTTCCTGGAGAAGAAGGAATTCTGCCTCAAGACTTTAACATAGAAATCCTGCTGGCCTGCTCTGTTGTTGGGACTCAAGGCTGCAAAATCAAGTCTTGTCTCAGTTTCTCACCTGCTAGTCTGCTCTCCATATATGTGCTTGTAGGTATATATATAGCCCTGGTGGCGCACTGCTTAAAGAGCTTAGCTGCTAACTGAAAGCTCAGCAGTTTGAACCCACCAGCCACTCTGAGGGAGAAATATGTGGTAGTCTGCCTCCGTAAAGATTTACAGCCTTGGAAACCCTATGGGGCAGTTTTACTCTATCCTGTAGGGTCGCTATGAGTCAGAATTGACTGGACAGCAATGGGTTTTTGGTTTACATATGTATATTACATAGATATTGTATCAGAGTTTTCCAGAGAGATAGAAGTAGGTATATCTCCTATTGTTTCTATTTCTCTGGAGAACCCTGACTGATAAAATATCCCATATTATTTTTCATCTCTGGACTTCTATACGCTCTTCTCTCTTCCTGACACCTTTTTTTGTTGTCTGCCCTCTTCTCTTTCATCCTTTTGGGCTCAGTTTATACTTTCCTTTTTCAAAGGGGTTTATACTAGGCTATATCTGGTCAGATGCTTCAACTATGTGTTTATATAATACCCTGTGCTTTGTTATCATTGTAACACTTACTGCCTGTAGATTTTTTTGTCTGTCTGCTTGAGTATATTTTTACTAGATTGTAGCCTTTATGAGTGCAAGGACAGTGTCTGTCTTGTTCACTGTTGTATCCCCAGTGCCTAGTACAGTGCCTGGAGTCAATAAATAGTATTTGAATGAATGAATGAATGCATTTTTGTAAAAGGACTCTGTTAAGTTAAATAAATGCGTGCATGCTCAAATCTTTTCTGAATTCTAACAAATTATAGCTCACCTGTGATTCTTTTTCCAACAGGCCAAGTTGATAGAATTTAGTCCTCTGAGGGCAACTGATGTGAAACTCCCAAGTGGAGCCGTGTTTGTGATCGCCAACAGTTGTGTGGAAATGAATAAGGCGGCAACTTCTTATTTCAATATCAGGGTGACAGAGTGTCGGCTGGCTGCTAAGGTGAGAACTTGGAATACTAGTGAAACTTGAAGTAGGCCTTTTTCTTGTCCTTACTCTTTGTGTTCCCTGTTACTTTGTTTTTTTCCCCAAAATTTAGAGCAACATTCTGACAGCTGCAACATTCTAACTGATGGTCTTTGGGTACAGAGCAATCTGATTCCATACTCAGAAGATAAACCAATAAGTATGCCCTGTTAACCCTAGCTATTTAGAAACTATATGAAGTACACAGTTTGGTCTTGTAGGGTGGCAGCTGAGGAGAAGACGGCAGCTTATATCTGTGAAACATAGGCCGTGGGGAGAGTCTTTGGATGGAGAAAGATAGGAGTTGGGGGCAATTGATGGGAAGTGACCACAGCTGGTCTTTTTTCCTCAACAAGGGTGATGGCAGCCTGATCCCCTAGCTCTCTCAGGTGCACCGTTGTGGGTACTTAGCTATCACTGGTCACTCCAAAAATACAAGCTTAGTATAACGCCCTGTGCCCAGAAGACTTCTGTATGTTTATTAGGGAAACAGAAACCAGAAGGGAGTCTTAGTTGTTCTCCTTTCCTCAGTTTAGAAGGTCCCTGCCAGGCAAACCTTAGATCTATTTAGGAAGTATTCATTGACTAGCAGTTGTATGGGTAGCATCATAAAGATACACAAAAGGGTATGGGACATCAAAGTAGGAGTAGAGAGTTAAAGTTAGGGGGATATGAAATAGAAAGTGGTTAAAGAAAACAAAGCAGTCTGTGATCAGGGGCTCCAAAAAGTGAACAGAAATGAAATGTCATGGAGGATTCAGAATGACACGTGGTATAACTGGAAAGTGTGGGAGAACTGAAGCTTGGGTCTGGGGAATGGATACTGGGTCAGGAGCTCCACTGTGCTCTTTTATACTCTTCCTTTGACCTCCTCCCAATGGAACGTATGGATTTCACCTAAGATTAATGGTCACTAACCTTCACCAAGCCCTAGACACAGCCTGAAATCTGTTCTCTCCTCAGCGGCAATTTTATACATTCTTCAGTCCCTCAAGCCCCCTTTACCCAACTCAGCCTGACTAACGTTGAAAAGTGATCTTATCCTGTATTTCATGTTGGAAACAGACACTATCACACAGGCTTTGGCTTCCTGCCATCATATCTACACATCTCCCCACATCTGTGCACACACCTTCACATCTGTACATCCCCCACATTTCACATCTCCCCATATCTGCACATCCCACACCTGTGCATCTCTCCACATCTGCATGTCTCTCTTCATCCTCCACATCTGTACACACCTACATCTGAAAATCCCCCACATCTGTACATCGCCACATGTGCACATGCCCCGTATGTGCACATCTCCCACGTCTGTGCATCCTCCACATCTGCACATCCCCCATATCTGCACATCTCCCCACATCTGCACATCCTCCACAACTGCGTATCCCCACATTTGCACATCCTGCATGTCCCCCACATCCGCACATCCCCACATCTGCACATCTGCTATCAAAGGCCACCCTTCCATTTGTGGTTGCAGGGAACTTAGTCTATCCCTTAGCACTTCTCTTCTTATCTCTTTGCTGCATCCTTTATATCAGACTCCACATATTCTAGTATTTTTTTAATTATTATTTTTTACATTTTATTGTCTTTTCAATGAAAGTTTACAGTGCAAATTAGTTTTTCATTCAAAAATTTTATACACAAATTGTTTTGTGACATTAGTTGCAATCCCCACAATATGTCAGCACTCTCTTTCCACCCTGGGTTCTCCATGTCCATTCGTCCAGTTTTCTTGTCTTTTCTGCCTTCTCGTCTTTGCTTTTGAGCAGGTGTTGCCCATTTGGTCTCGTATACTTGATTGGACTATGAAGTGCTTTCCTCATGTGTGTTATTGTTTGTTTTAGAGGCCTGTATAATCTTTGGCTGAACAGTGGGCTTTGGGAGTGGCTTCAGTTCTGAGTTAGCAGGGTGTCCAGGGGCCATAGTCTCGGGGTTTCCTCCAGTCTCTGTCAGACAGACCAGTAAGTCTGGTCTTTCTTTGTGAATTTAAATTTCATTCTACGTTTTTTTCCTGCTCTGTCCGGGACCCTCTATTGTGATCTCTGTCAGAGCCATAGGTGGGTAGCCAGGCACCATCTAGTTCTTCTGGGCTCAGGCTGGTGGTGGCTGTGGTTCATATGGTCCATTAGTCCTTTGAACTAATATTTTCCTTGTGTCTTTGGTTTTCTTCATTCTGCTTTGCTCTGGACAGGATGGGACCAATAGACGTATCTTGATTGGCTGCTCGCAAGCTTTTAAGACCCCAGATGCAACTCACCAAAGTAGAATGTACAACATTTTCTTTATGAACTTTGTTAGGTCAGTTGACTTAGATGTCCCCCGAGACCATGGTCCCCAGCCCTCAAGGTTTTTGGATGTGTCTAGGAAGCGTGTATGACTTTGCCTTGGTCAAGTTGTGCTGACTTCCCCTATATTGTGTGTTAACTTCCCTGTCACCAAAGTAAACCCTTGTCTACTATCCAGTTAGTGATTTCCTCTCACTCGTAACGATCAAAGATTGATTTTTCTATGTGTAAACCTTTTATTGGGTTTTTATAATAGTGGGCTTATGAAATATTTGTTCTTTTGTGATTTACTTACTTCACTCAGCGTATTGCTCTCCAGATTTATCCATGTTGTGAGATGTTTTGCAGATTCATCATTGTTCTTTATTGTTGCGTAGTATTCATATTCTAGTATTTTGCATTAAAAAAATCTTCCGTGGACCTCACATCTTTCGAACTACTATTGTGTTTCTATTTTTCTCATTCTCTTTATAGCTTAAACTTCTCAAAAGATTGCTCCTTTACTCCATGTTGTCTTTACTCCTTTACCTCCTGCTCATTCCTTAACCGACTAAACTCTTACTTCTGCCCTCTCTACAATATTTAATTGGCTCTTTCTTAGGCCACCATAGATTTTCTTGCTGGTAAATTCAGTGGACACTTTTCAGCCTTTATGTTACTCCTCATCTTTATCTCCTTATTTTTCAACAAACCATCAGTCTCTTCATCTTGAAACAATTTTTTCCTTCTGTTTCCATTCCTGTTTTTTTTTTCCCACCTCTGTTTTCTGGCCATTCCTTCTTAGTTTTTTTTTTGGAGGGGTCGGGGAAGGGGTGGAATTCTTTCTCCTTCACTAGACCTTTAAATGTTGAAGTTCTTCAAAGCATTGCCCTTGGCCTTGTGTTCTTTCTTTGTGCTCTTTCCTCTATTGATTTCATGCCATCTCACACCTTCATCTCCGATACGCTGATGAATTTTTAATGAACATGTTCAGCTCAGGTCTTCTCTGCTGAGCTCAAACCTGTACATCCAGCTCCTCATTGAACATCTCTACTTGAATGAATCACAGACCTCTCAAACTAAGCATTTTAAAACTGAACTCAGTCTTCCTCTTACAAACCTTTCGTTCTTCTGTTGTTCCTGTCATTGTTTATCTACTATTGCATTCGCCTTCTCACTAGTCCTCAAATTCACGCTTGTCTGTCTCCCAAACATTCTTCAAAGAACACTTAGAATGATGGTTTAGAAATTTAAATCTGACCAGGTAAATCCCCTACCTAAGACCTTTCAAAAGCTTCCCATTTCACTGGAATAGCGTTTAAGAAGTCCTTTATCGCTGCCTAGAGAGCCCCGCAAGATCTGGTGCCTGTGCACATCATCCTTTTCATCTCTTAGCACTCCCTACCCCTGCTGTGGAGTCCCTGGGTAGCACAAACAGTGAAGCGCTTGACTCCTAACCGAAAGGTTCGAACTCACGCAGAGCGTCCTCAGAAGACAGCCCTGGTGATCTGCTTCTAAAATGTCATAGGCTTGAAAACCCTATGGAGCAGTTCTATTCTACACATGTGGGGTCGTCATGTGTCGGAATTGGCTCTACAGCAAGTAACAGCAAGAACAACAACAACCCCTGTTGTACTCTAGCCATGATGCTCCTTCGCATGTCAGGGACTTCACATGTGCTCTTCCTTCTCCCAGAATGCTCTACCCCCAGCTTCTTTGAAGTCTCAGTGTAAGTGTCCCTTAGGGAGGCCTTCTTTGACCTCTGTACCCTCAGACTAAGGTAAGCGCCCCTTCACATTTCACAGTTATGGTATTTGTACTTTTCAGTTATGGTGTTTATCACAGTTACTTGTTTAACGTCTATCTCCCCTTCCAGAGTAGAGTTTACCTGTGAACAAAGATTGTGTCTATCTTGTTAACCTTATATCTCTAAAACCTGGAATAGTGCTTAGCCTGAAGTAGATACAAGGTAAACATTTGTTGAATAAATGAATGACCATTCCCTGTGTCACTTGCCCTGTCCTGCTTATTTGGTGCAATTTCACAATTTTCTACAAGTGCCTATTTTATACCCAGCACTGGACTATGTATTGTGGAGATGTATAAGGTGTAGTTATCCCTGTGACTGACTCATACCTTCTCCCCTTACTCCCAACTCCCTGAGGAGTGAAGCTGGGGAGAGCAGAGATGTGAAGAGCCAGAAAAATTAAAGTTGTTTTTCTTCGTCTTGAAAATTTGGAGTTATGCATTTTTTAAAAATCATGATTTAAATATTTTAAATCTGGATTTTATTCATTAAGATGATGTCTAAAAATACATATAAGAAATATTTTAACACCTTTCTCTTTAATATTTTATTCTCTTAACATTAACTTAACATTTAATGCTCTATGGTGTCTGAGAAGCGTATATGTACAGAAGAAATAGTGCAGTAAAATTTTCAATATCAAGGGTTAAATGAATTTTTTTTCGCTTAGGGCAGACTTCCTTTTTCATGAAATGGAACAAATTAGTGTCATATTTGTTTGGGGGTTTACCCTTGTTGACTTTTTTATCTTGAGGTTGATGAGTAAGTGTTGCCTTCCTGAGGAGACCTCAGATATACACAGGACTGTTTTCCAAGTTTTATCATGAAATTAGGTATCTTCTACCAGATCCATAGGTGAGAGAAAGCAAGCGTGAAAAGTAAAATGTGTC